CAGGTAAAAATAAAATATTTCAACCACGAAATATCTCACGAAATATTTACTTCTCGATTATCTTATTTCGATACTTTTATGCAAAATAATTAAAGAATTAATTTTTGTAAAAAGAAAATTTATGCAAAAAAATGCATGCATCTATATTACCAAAACAGAAAATCACTTCCATTTAACAAAATTAATTTTTCGACCTATTGCGTAAACGTCTTTTGTTCAGTTTGGTAAGTCCTGCTCGCCTTCGACGAGAATCTTGAATCCTTTCTTTTTAACAGAACCTATGTTACGTATACCGCGTATAGTTCAAAGATAAATAAGACCTTTAAATCGCATTCAATGAGTACTTCGAAAGGAGAGATGATTACAGTAAATTATTGCCCTCGGCCTTACCTAATGCGGCACAAGTCAAATTCCTTTTAGTTGCAGCGAGGGCTCATTACGAGCACGAGTGAGCCAACAGGTATATCGCCGAACAGGTATTGCGTAACGAATTATCCTCAAGTCTCTCGTGAACGAAGGGAACGTAGGCCAATAGAAATTTTAACGAGCCTTCAAAGACAGTTTCGACAAAAGTGCCCCTTTATACGTACATATATACAAATAGAGTAAAGAACCAAAATGGAAAATAAACACGAGAGGTAGCGGTGAGATTTCTTTAGAACTACGCGTTTGTCATGTCGAGTTTCCCCAGGGTGTAAAAACCAGTCGGTACCAACTACCGTGCAACATTGTTGGCGAATAAGATAGACTGGTAGAAAAATTTGCTCAAAGCGAAAGAATAACTGGGAATTTGTCTCTATTTTCTTCGAAACAATATGGCTCTCACGTAGTCTGGAAAAGTCACATCTGTAAACTCTGAGAGAGGATCTTTTGCGGCATTTAAGTACTTCTATAGCTCTAGATTTGACGTCAAGTCCGTCTTTTTAGTAACCCAATAAAACCATCGATCTCGCAAAAACAATTGCAATTTGTTTATAATCGAAAAGCTTTTTTTAAGCTGGTAAAATAAAAAATCTTCAGAAAGATAGCAGAAAGAGAGACGTACGACGCATATTCCGCGAAGACTATCGGGTACAACCGACGAATTTTTGCAGAAAACAAAAAAAACAATCATTTTCTTTCTCGGTCCCGTTTACATTTGAAGGACTTGACGTTGCGGGGAAGGTGAGGGGAAGGAGTTTCTCTCTTTTGTGCGACGTGGTCTCGCGGCGTTCGCGCCGGGAATATTAAGTGTCTCCCATAAGCATACGATGCAGCACTGCTTTCCAGCGCGTAAAACAAAACGAGCGAAAATGCAGCTTTCTCTTCGACTTTCCAAAGGCGAACGCGTCCTTAGGCGATTTCGCACACCTTCGCGAATGCACGTCGCGCCACGACGCGATAAATCGTCGATCGGAAATCGGGACTCGCTCGTGAAAAGTCCGGCGCGGAGAAAAGGAGGAAGGAGCAGGGGCACCACGAGTGGCAAACTGTTCGAAAGAACATCCGCGTGCGGCATTACTCCCCGTTGAGTTTCTTCGATCGGAAGGATTAATTATCGGGGCGACAATTCAGGCAGATTCGCGAGAAACGTATCTCCGTGCGTTCTCCCGGGTAAAAAGAAGAATCACGAGGTGAATCGTTCCAGGTAAACGACGGTTGTTACAGCCCGGTATAAGTATTGCGCACGGAGGGGAGGACGCGGCGGCGAATTTACAGACATCAAAGCGACGGCGACGGCGGTGGGCCCTGCTGGGCCCCGCCGCGCCCCGATTCCGCACGACGGAACGTCAAATTTCGTCGAACGGCGGTAATCGCCGGCGATCCGCCCGCGGAAGCGGGCACCACCTCGTTAGGACAGGTGCGCACGCGCGCACGACACACGTGCGGTCGAGGGAGAAGATAAGAAAGGAAGAAAGAAGAAAAAAAAAAGACAGAGGAAAAAAGTCTCAGACGCGCGAACCCCGGGAGTTCCTTGCGAATCGAGCGTTTACGGTGCCCGGGCCTATATTCCCCGAGAACGGGGGATCGGGGATCTGGTGAGCGGTGTATCGAGTGTGCGTCGAGAGGGGGGAGCGACGAACGGCCGAGGGGGGCGGGGGAGAGAGGAGGATATCGAGAGTGCCCAACGAAGCGGTTCTACGGCGGTACAGCGAGGTCAGCGTCTTTTCTGCGTACGTGGATCCGCCGTCGAACGTATATGCAGCGCTAATCTCGCCTCTCGCCGATTTCGCCCGTGATGATGCTGCCAGCAACATCACCACCACTACCATCGTGATCATCGTCATCATCGTGCAAAACGACGAGCAAAACAGCACGACACGAGCGACGAGTGCTGCCGCCAAGCGGTACAACGAGAGCGTATAAATAAATATTTACCGTTCGCGCGTTCCTTTCACTTGCTGTATCGTATCGTTTCGCCGATTGAAATCGATTCCGAGAGCGCACCAGATGTGCAAGGGCAATTCGCAGCCTAGACGCCGACGATCGCGACGTAGAGCCCCATCGGCTGCGAGGGGGGGATCTCAACGACTTTCACGGGAGATAAAATAGAAAAAAATATGTGGGAGATACAAATAGAATAGAATTTTAAGCGGGGTAGAGAGAGAAAGCGAGTTAGAAAACACGAGATGAGTCCGAGAAAAGGCGGATAAAAGACGGCAAAGGAGAGAAAAGACTCTCAGTGTAGTATACAAATTTATGAATAGAACCGACAGGTTAACAATAGAACGGTTAAGAACCTACTTACAAGCACGTTACTTGCGTAAGTGAAGGCACTATTCTTTAGGGATACAATAACAAAAAAACAAAAAAAAAAAAAACTGTAATCGCAGTACATTCGGGTGTCAAATTACGTCTGACAGCGACAAATAGATCCTCGTTATTTATCGCCCGTTATTTACGCGTGCGATATCGGTACGAGTGCAATAAATAATGTAAAATAAATAGGAAAAAAAATCCTTCCACTCTCGTGTCACACTCGTGTTTGTTGTCACAAGTGTCGGGTGCGAACCTACTGCAATAACTCGTGCGTTTCCCCGCGCGATAACCGACAACTAATGCAAGCTATCGAATTACCGGGCGATATACTTACTCGGCGATAATCCGATAAATGACGCTGGTTTGCTAAAAATAAAGACCCCCGAGCTTTCGCGGAATATTCGCGCGATTTATTTATTTTATTCTATGCATTTTAAGCGTGACCGATTTGTGAACCGCCCCGCGCAGTTTATCGTTTCTTCGATATTCGACCCACAGAAATGAGTCGCAGTCGCAGATTTATACATGACGCCGGAGAGCTTCTCACGTATTCTCATTTCGCATCGTACTTTCATTCATCTATTGAAGATCGGCAACAGACGGAATATGCGTTTCATCGAGATCGAATCGGTCGTTTTGCCTCGAATGCTCTCAAGAGGTGCAATTTAGTTTGAGATATCAACTTTCGCCCGCAAACTTCTCGTATTTAACCGTGCAAGGCATATAATTAACAATAAAAAGACAACTCACACGTTCAATAAAAGCAAAGCTAAACACAGGCCAACAAAATCTCCGAGCAAACGATAAAAGATGTTAGTTTAAAAGTAAAAAAATAATAATTTATTGGATGATGGAAATAAAAATCGTTTACATATAATTAACATATCTATTCCGTTAATAAAACACGGCAATGCAATAATATTATTTCCTCGTCGATTTATTAAGTCCGCTTTTCGCGCTTAAAATGAAACGAGCATGTAACATGAGATACATTCAGGTGGAAGGAGGAGAAGGGGAAAGACGAAAGGCACGAAAAGATCGGCCGCGAGGAACAAACTCATTTTCCCGTCGGACGCATTCCAGGGCTCGGTTCGATTGAACCAATAAGACCCGTCGTAATTCTCGGAGCGAGCACGCCGTAGCTGCGCCGCGCCGGCCACGTGACACACACGCGCCGCGCGTCGCGATAGCGAAAGGAGCAGATAAGGCACACGCACAGGGGGGGTACACCGCGACACCTGTACACGGGGTGTTCCACATCTCTGCGTGAGTGAAAATTTTTTTTTTCGAACGGGACGCGACGCCGCGTATCATCCCGATCCCCGCGGGCTCGAGCGAGGCGACAACGCGGAGCAACGGGGGAAGGAGAATAAAGAGAACGACGGGGAGCAGGAGGGGGGCATGTCATTTTCTCGCGAACCGGGAATGAGGTCGATCCCTCGAGTATACACTAGACAGCCGGGTGCTTTCCCATCGTTGAGAAATGCCGGCGCGCGTTTAGATTTTTCTTTTTTCCCTCGCGATCGCATCCACCAAAAACGTCCGCGAAATCGCAAACGACGATCGAGTTAACAAGAGGAAAATGGTCCGTGTGGAAAAATGGTTTAGATTGCGTTATTTTGTGTCCGAAATTAAAAAAAAAAAAATGCCCGCGCCTATCCAGGCTCGCTCGCTCCGGAAAGTCAGGCTTTCCGGGACACCCTGTACATAGGTCTCGTTCGCAGCCGCAGGAATTCGCTGATAGCGTTCGCGGGGCCCAATCGGCTCCATCGACGGACATTTCAAAACGACGTGACGGCGAATTGGTATTACGTGGCGAGACGAATTGGGGAATCGCGGTGATCCGTATACGGGCGAGCGAGAACGAGCTTCGCGAGCGGTTTCACTGACGTGGGGAAAAAAAGAAAAACACGCGACGTTACGTCACGATGAAAAATTCAGCGCGCTCGGAGGCGCGACCGAGCGCGCAAAATGGCGCGTCGCGCGTAATCTCTCTCTCTCGCGCGCGTTTTGCGACGGGAGGCCCGATAAAATTTCGGACGCCGCGCGGCTACATTTATTTCTGGACTTCCCGGAAACCTTACCTTCGACCTTTCCCGCTCGCCCATTTCGGACGAACGATCTCGGTCGAGCGCGCGTAAAAGGCGGCACCGCGGGCAGCAAACCGCGGCGCACCAAAAATTCGGGAAACAGGGAAAAGCGAGAGACGGAGAAAAGAAAAAAAAAATTCGCAGTAGGAAAGAGGAGAAATGGTCACTCACCCTCGTCCAGCAGCCGCTCCACGTGAATGAAGACATTCGGGAAGGCAGCTAGCTGCTTGCGGTCCTTCAGCAACTGTGACAGGTAGTCCGCTATACTCTGCGTCGTCGTGTTAGTATTATCACACATCGCAAATTGTACTCGGCTGCTTCAATGGCGAATGGGTTGGCGCGTGTTGGGCGCGCGCGCGCGGACAAAACACGATTTTAATGCAAACACTCGACTCGGAGTGGCGGCGTGCGAGTGGACCGCGACGGTGCGCGGTGTCGTCGGGACGGACGGAGAACGTCGGAGCTGTTCTCTCTCCGGTCGCACAAGAGAGCACCAAACACGCGCGGACGGGCGGAGACGTACTGACGAAGGAGTGTTTAAAAGAAAAGGAACCCGCAGCGAAGGCGACGGTGGCGGCAGCGGCGGCGGCGGCGGCAACGAGGGGGGGACGGGGAGTGACACGACGAGTGCGACAGAGAGAGAGAGAGTGAGGAGGCACAGCGCAAGGGGGAGAGGGAAAGACTCCCGCTAGCGCGGAGGGATCGCGCGCGAGGCGAGGGTGGCGCGAGCGCGGCGAGAGGGGAAGGGACGGGGGGAGGGAGAGGAAGGGAGGGAGCCGGAGAGCGAAGGCGCGAGGGCGAGCAACGCTCCTCCGAGAGAGTCGTAAAGTTGCCTCGTCTGCCGCGTACGCGGTCGTTCGTTCTTTTCTCTTCTTTTTTCCTTTCCTCCGATTTTTTTCCGCCCCGCCAGTGACGTGGACCGGATAGCTCTCCGCTCGATCGCTTTTTTCCTCGTATCGGTTCGTTCCTCGTTCGTTTCCTTCGATTCTTTCCCCGATTAGCTAGCGCGGAGAGATTCTCGCCTCTCCCTTTTTCTCCCGTTTTATCCCGCTCGGCTTGGCTCGCCCGGTTTCCGCGACGGTCTTTTTCTCTTTCTCTCTTGCTGCGGTCGAGGGAACAGGGAACGCGTTTGCAAGCCTCTCACACACACTCACGTCTGCTCACGTCGTCACAGTTGACTATTGCGCTTTCAGAAACGATCCCACTGGTAAACGCGCGCCGCAGTATTAGATCGCGAGAAGCGATGTGGGAGCGACGATGGAGGGAGGGAGACGCGGATGGAGAGAGGGAGGAAGAGCGTAGGAAGAGGTGAGGGAACGGAACGAGACAGAGACGGAGCGTCGAGGATAAATAGAAACGATCGACCAAAAGTTTCGGACGGAGAAAGCGAAAACGGAAAGAACCGGATGAAACGGAGAGGAGGAGTGAAAGAGAGAGAGGGGGGGAGGATTAAACGTGCGTAGAGATAATGCTTGAATGTCTCTCTCCCTCGCTCGTTTGCGCTCCGCGTTAGGCTTGAAATCGGAATGCGGATCGCGGGGAATTCAAGAGTAAGTACACACGCTTTGGAATTCTCGGCTCTACTGATTGCACCGCCCGTGCATGCGCGCCCGCGCACGAACCGAGCCGAGCGGGCCCGAGTCGGGCCGAGGAGCCGGGATCGCGGGCGCATGCGCGCTACGCGCGCACCGTGCTCTCCTCTCCGCTCCGCCCCGCTCCGCCATGCGCCGCCGCGCGCCTCGCCCGCGCCGTCCGCGTCGTTGTCGTCGTCGCGCGTCTACCGCCCACTACCATATACGGGCTCCGCATACGCGCTAGCACCGAGCGAGAGCGAGAGAGACGGAATGAGAGAAGGAGAGAGGGGGGGAGATGGAGATAAGCGCCATACCGTCGTGTCGCAGAGTTGGATAATTCAGGATTCAGGCCCGCGTCCGCGGGCCAACGCACCATCCCGTTTCTCTGAACGTTGGCTGCGTGAGGCGAATTATTCCAACTTTTTTTTTTCAAATATGGTCCTTCACGGACGAACTCGCGCGGAATCTATATATTTTGGTGCTCAATCGGAAATGTTTTCTTTTCTTTTTTTTATTTCGGAGTCTGTCGGAGTACCACGAGACTCCCGAGGGACGACCACTTCCTTTAAAACCTTTCCGACCATCCCCCAACCACGAGTTTCCAATTACAATTTTTAATCTTGGCTTCGGATTTCTCTCTCTCTCTCTCTCTCATACACACACACACACATGACGACATGCGCGCGCATGCAAGCTGCGGCGGTGTCGAAACTCATTAATCCTTCACGTCAGACTTTTTTGAGAAGAGAAATATACATCTAGTGATCTAATTTAATTATTTTTAAAGGTATTTTGAAGTCGCTGAATAGAAAAATGGCACCTAAATTTAAAATTCAATATAGCAAAAATAAGAAATAAATTGTTTCATAAATAAATTGTGTATTACTGGATACAAAACGTAAAAAAACCTTAAACGACGGATCGAATATGGCGAATGTAAAAATAAGATATCTTCGAGTTCTAATGAAAGTATCGCGTCGTTTTCAGGATCGCAAAATACAGATTCGACTTGTAGAACAAAATAAAAAAAGCGTAACAAAACATATTTATAAGAACCACGTAGTACAGTTCAAAAGTTCTCCCAAGACAAGCCCAATTTGACGTTAACGATTCCATGTTTACCGGATATTATATATCTCACAAATATGCCAGGATCGCCAGGATACACGTGCACTCCGGATTCACGTGTCCCTGGACACGGGGGGAAACTCGAAAGGCACGTGAATCGTTAGCGTGAATGAATAACGTGTCGATTGACAAAGACGGGAACGCGCGGCAAGTCGCTTCCTCGCTGCAAATCGCGATGATCCCGACTTCGCGAGGAGGAGAGGTAGGGAGAAAAAAAATAGGCCTTGTGGAACGTATCCCGAGTGCGCAACCAGCCGCGGCCGCGGCCTCTCCCAACGGAGATCGGTGCATTACATCAACGGTGCGCAACATCGTTACGATCTCGGAGCTCCGCGGCGTGCCTTAGAATGCATAATTAATAACTCTGCCTACCCGCTTGCGATATACGCGCGCGGCGCGCCGACCAAGGCGTGAACGTACAAGGTGATACCCGCGAGCGTGTCGCCGATTCATATATATTAACGACGCACGTGCCGTGGACTAACGACGCGCGCTTAACCGGGCCTCGTTTCTCCTTCTTCCTCCTACTCTTAAATAATTTTGTTTACTTGGAGACGGTTAATCTCGTCTTTACGAGAAATCTCTCGGTGCTTTTTCGCTTATTAAAAGTGACTCGAAAGTCTAACAGTGATGTTTATGACTCACGTTTATAATCATTATTTAATTACTATATATATTTGATTTATAATTATAGTTACTTAATTTTCATGTGTTTTTCAGCCATCATTCTTAATGGATTATGTAAGCTCGCGTGAGATGCCCTGCGCTCCTCATGAAAACTATGGCTACTACGACAAGTACGACAGAAATCAATAAGATATTTGCAAATTAATATTGAATTGACATACATACATTTCATTTACACCTTAAAATAGTTAGAAGTCGCTTGAGCGATCTAAGAGTTTCCGTTTAATTTCTAAGTTCTAAGAAGAGTCGCCTTGAAAACGGAAAGCTAAAAAGGTAAAAAAAATGGATAGATCGGTTTAACAAACGGTATTACGAATACCGTACCGTTGCGAATCCCAAGTCACGTCTCGTCGTCGGAATAGAAAAATTTATTCCAGCATCGTGCCTCGCGCGAGAGGCGTGCTTTTTGTACAGGATGTATAAACAAGCGATCCCGTAGGAGGAGCACTTATTGCAATTTCTGCCCGGCTGGATTACCAGTGGAAATGCCATTACGTGGTCGACGACTAAATGGTGTCAACGCCGCGCGTTCGCCACCGGTTTGTCCTTACCGGGCCGCTTAAGGGAGCGCACGCGATTGCGGAATGTTTAAGCGCGCGGAAAGGAAGCAAAGCGCACTTTCCCCCCTTCGTCTCGCTGCTCGACCGCAAAAAAAGTACGGATCGAGGTCTCGCTCGAGGCTCGTTATAGTCTAATTCACTAATAAAGACTGTAAAATAGATCGCGATGAACGGTGGCGAGCCGGTTATCATCGATTCAAATGCAGACGCTGAAGAAACAGTTGTCCTTTTTCAACGAGCGTCTGAAATTCGGAGATGTCGAACTTGTGCGGTCCCAATGAATCCCTATAAATACTTCATTAGCTTCATATAAATACTAATATACTTTAATATACTTCAATATACTTGTAATAAATATGACATTTCAATTATATCCGAAAGAATTATTATCCGATCGCTGAAATTCAGGTGCTCGGATAATTTGAAGAGTCGAACCCATGAATTTGGATCTGAACTACTAAACTGCGGGACGTTTCTGTTCTCCGAACCCGTTCGATCGGCCTCTCATCCGTAATTCCGAAAAATCGCCGGCGAAATACGTGACGGAACGGGTCGCGCATAGGTCGAATTCAAGGTGCGATTGCCGATCGATCGGCCGCGCCGATTACGCCGCCTCTTTAGTACTCTCCCACGGACTTTACCTTCTATGCCGTGTATATCCAGCGCCTACACGCGCGCACGTACGCACTCGCACGCACGCACGCACACGTCGGCAAATGCAAAAGTGACGTTGACGTCACGCGTCCGTACATGGCCTCACCGTGAAAACCGTGTGGGTGTCGCGCGTTATAAATTACTTCGTCTTGAACTTTTTTCCCCTCCTATTACTCCGCATCCTTCCTTCCATTCCCGGTCCCGATCGCCTCTGCAATCTTCGAATCTTCGAGCGGAGAAAAAGAAACTTGCACGCATTCGCGGATTCTGTGACTGGCTTGATAAAAAAAACTTAAGAAAAACAGGACAGAACAATTTAGAATCGTTAAGAAGAAAAAAAAACGGAATGAGTCAGGAACGACTTCTTGACATAAAGCGAATATATTTCCGATCTGACGTTAAATCTAAAACTGTATAATGACATCGACAATGCCGGAGCTTGATACCTTAAATGTTCTTATGTCTGAGACTCGCGGAAGATGCCGTTTGACGAGCACTCGGACGATCTTTGCTTATAACCATTTTACTAAAACTATTTACAGTATACATAATACATACGGTGCGGATAAGTTTATTCCGACTCCAAATGTATATGAGAAAATACGATTTGAACGTATGCTTCTCTCGCGTTGCACCTTATTTATACGTTGCCGGTAGGGCAGCGGGATCATCTTCGAGCGATTAAGTTGGCGGGATTGTTATGCTGCCGATCCTCAGGTTACCACACCGAGATGTATTAATATCGTTAAATTGATCCCTAATGATGCGCCGCCATCGTACGCCATTGTCTGCCGTCTTCGCCTATAAGGTGCGCGGGGATGACTATTATCTGCTGAATTGCCGATTGTCCTGCCCACGTTTGCCTATCTGGCGAAAGGTCTTGGTGCGATTCAGCCGCTTTGCCGAACTCGGGTCGTTTATATTTTTGAAATGTCCATAGCCGCCCCCGCCGAGCCTTTTTCGTGGTCGTGAAGACTTGCTGATTCCCACCTCTTACATAGGAAAGAAAAGAAAGTTTAACTCTAGGCTAACTAGCAATGCATATTTGTGCTGGTTCAAGACAAATCCACATTTGGAGGCTAATATCGAGCAACCAGTAATTAAGATTTTGATTAATTCAGATATAGACGACAAATGTAAATTGAATTACTTTTTTCTCTATGTTATTAATTGAAATTCGAATAAATATCTAAGAATCTTTAAAGATATTTATTTAAAAAAGTTATAAATAAATTTGTGCGAGAAAACTTTTGCACTTTTGCCCCAACTTACAATATGTGTTTCCATTAGCGGTGATATGATTTCTATTATTAAATTAAAAAAAAACTTACTCAAATCTACTGCTGGTGGTACGGTAAATCCAAACGATTTAGCAACTTTCACCAAATCCAGAGTCTCTATATCAAAGACCTGCTTCAAATGATGTGAATCATACGCTCTGACGTAATTCTTAAATGCATCCTTTGCTGACTGATGTAAGAAATAATTCTTCGATATCAACTTCTCAAGCTAAAACAGAAAATCTTGTGTCTTTATCGCTTCTAAAATATTAGAAGAGACTAGTTAAACTGATAGAGTTGCATATATCAATTTCTCTACTAAAAGATGCGATGAAATCACATAGATACATATATTAACACTTCTAAACATGTTTCCGTGCCTCGTAGTTTCGATTTAAACACAAAGCATTTAAAATTCAGACGAAAAAATATTCAAAAGTATATTTTAAAGGAAGAATCATAATATATGTATTGTATATATCTACCTGTAATTGTATATCGGCGATTTTATTCCAAGAAAATTCATATTCGTTCACGGGTACGCGAGCTTCCTTGAGATAACGAAGGAAGCCAAGCTCCTCCGGTCGTAATATCAGCAAAGCATGACCGCTGCTACCCTCCCCGCGAGCAGTTCGACCAACACGATGGATGTATTCCTAAAAATCATACAAGTTCGACATTAAGAATCGATATTCATTAATCCGTACTATTGGAAAGATCATCATATCTCTCTGCTTCTTTTAATGTTAAGCAAAGCAAAATTATGCGACAATCTCTACCTTGGGATCGTCTGGTGGATCGTACTGCACGATCCAGTCAACATCGGGTATATCCAGGCCTCTCGCAGCCACGTCAGTGCAAAGCAGAATACCCGAAGAAGCGTTACAAAATTGGTAAAAGGTCGTGGTCCTTTTCGTCTGTTTCTGCTTACCCTGTTAACGAAAGCGTGAATGCTAAGTCGGGAATTCATGAAAATATCGCGGCTCCGAGTGGCGTTGGGAATGATTTAGTAACGTACGTGTATACTCATCACTGGTAAATCGATGTAGTTTAGGAGTTCGTGGTGATATTTAACGGACATGCAGGAACTGAAGAAGACCATCATTTTCTTCTTTCGGTTTTTCTTTAAGAATGTGAACAGAAGTAAAAATCTTTTCTCGCTCGGGCACGTTACGTAGCCTTGTTGCAAGCCCTCCACAGTCGCCATTTCCTTGTCGTCGTCGACCCCCACGTATATAGGTTCTTTTTTTAGGGCTAACGTCGTTATCGTCGCTACCTTCTGTGTCTGCGTCGCGCTGAAGAGCATAGTTTGCCGGCGTTCTGCAACAATAACTCACATAGTAACAGGAAAAAAAAATTGCTTTTAACATTATTAACGCAGTGTGTCACTTACTGGGAAGGATGTTGATGATTTGCTTCAACTCTTCTTCGTATCCAATATCCAGAATACGATCAGCTTCATCGATGACCAGACATTGAAGATTCTTGTATAAGAAATCGGGTGTATTTTGCAAATGATCTAATAATCGTCCCGGCGTTGCCACGATAATGTTGATTCCCTTTTCGAGCTTTTGCGCTTCGGTCTGCCTACTGGCACCACCCATCAGCAGACCGTACGTGTGATAATGATACTTCATCAATTCTTTCAAGACCCCGAAAGTTTGCATAGACAATTCTCTCGTGGGAGACATAATGATGCAACCGGTGCCTGTAAATATTTATCCATTAAATCCTTCTGCCGACTTTGTATAATTGAATAATCAGAATATATCGAGACAACTTTATTTCTAGCAGCAGCTTCTATTTTCAAGTCATCTCTACAAAATTCAATGATAGAAATCATCACTATTGAAGGACTAAATATGTTAAATACATCAAACACTATTGAATATTTTAGGCAAAAATTATATTCGCATTTAAACGAACGTAGTTATCTTTTACTCACGTGAAAACAAATTCATAAAAATTATTCACAAAATAAAAAATATCGAAATGTTTTTCTGATAGTAGCTATATATATCGATCGTTTATTATGTACCGTTACGGGGCATAAACTTCAACTTGTAAATCAGTTCGACGGCGGGAATTAAGAACGCCAAAGTTTTGCCAGATCCAGTTTTGGCAGCGCCAACCAAATCTCTCCCTTCCAGAAGGGGTGGAATAGCTTTCGCTTGTATCTCAGTCATATTTGTAAAACCCATATCCTTTATCGCCTTCAGCGTATTCTCGCATACCTTCTCGCTCAATACCGAGAAGGTTGTATCGTTTGTCACTTCAAAACCTACAGCTGTGCCAGGTACTAAACAAAAATATATATCAACATGTCATTATATATAGAAAGCGCTCGAATATATATCATTCAATTTCTAATGTCAGCATATCAGAAATACGTACAATTCTCATTGTCAGTAGTCGGAAGTTGTTCAGCTACCTCAGATCTTTCACTTTTCTCAAGTATCTTTAACTTCATCTTTTCTAAGAAAGATATACGAATCACTATTAATAATCATATAATAAAACGGAAAATGCAAATATAATTAATTCCACTAATGGTATTTTATATTAGCTTAAAAAATTAATATATTTTATACACTTATAAAATAATTAAAAGAATAAATTATAAAAATAAGTTGGAATAATTTCTACAAACTTTTTGGAGGGATATCCTCTGTGTTTTGCTGAGGTATCGTCTCGGGTATTTTTTCTGGCTTGATTGCATCTGTATAACAAGTGTTTAAAATAAATGACAAGAAGGATATATCTATAACGAAAAAAAAAAAAGAAGAAAGAGGCCAATACTAAAAGATACTGTAGATACTAATTTTGCTAAGCAATTTTCTTAAATACACAGTCCCATTACTCGACAGATATGTTTTTATTTCACAAGAGCTAACCTCGAAAGTCAGAAAACCCTTACCTTTCTGCTCCTCTCGCCGCTTTAGCACTGTTAATTTTGTCTTTTCCCGTTTCTTAATTTTTCGCATCAGCACTTTCTCGGGCACGGACATCTTTTTAAGTTACGGAACAGTACCGTAGTGGCATAAAAAATTTGTTTACCACTGCCCAGGCACAGACGCGCGAGAAAACGATCAAAGCCAACACGTGGTGAAAGCATATAACCCTACCATAGACACAAAAAAAAGAACAATTATCTGCACCTGAGAGAGAGAGAGAGAGAGAGAGAGAGAGAGAGAGAGAGAGAGAGAGAGAGAGAAGCCCGACTAGCCCTCTCAGGCTTCTCTTTGTCTGTCTGTCTGCACATAGTGCACATTATACACTTTACGTGTATAGATTGCACGCTGCCATTGAGAAGACAATCTAAAAATGCACTCATTTTTTACAAAAATAAAGTATATAAACAATTATATACTTTAGAATAGCAATGCATTTATAAAAACAATTGCTTTAAATGCATATGAATAAGTAGTCGAGATCGCATTTCTGTCAATGGAGTATAAGACACTCCTTGCGTATATCAACAATATTTCTGTAGCATTCAAACAATTATAAAATGTATCAACAAAGTATCTTTCATATAAATGCCATTTATTTGTTCCTTTTTTAACGAGTAACATAATCTTAAATGTAATTCCTTATACGTATATAAATTGTATATCCTTACACATGAAAATACAAATCATAAAAGTTGGATATAGTACTAGACATTTTAATAACTTCCTATTAAAAATTACAATTAGTAAACGTTGTTCACAAGGCTATTTAGTTCATATGTGGATGTAAAGACACGAAGCGCACATATGACTATACATTTCATCATATAGTCATAGGCCCATATTCTGAACTGTTTTTTATCGCTAGTCTTTTATTTGTGAGATGCTATATAGTTAAAGTTAAAGTTAATAATAGAACAATTTATTTAATTATAAAAGTAAAATATTTGTAATTTGTTATAACTATAATATGTATCGATTGGACATTATATGTCTCAACTACAAAGCGATCCTCGGAAATCCTTAAAATCATGAATATCTATCCTTAAACAAAAAACATTGGTGATTCTCCCATTCTTATTATAAAATTTCTCTGTTCTCTTTCCAAGTCACTCAACCTAAAGTCTCCGTTCCTGGTAAACAAAAATAATATCTTACAGCTAGGTCATGATCATAATCAATATCCGCTTCATAGCGTAATAGATTGCTTACCCTTGTATCAAAGCTCTACCACGATAAGCTGCTAAATGAGCATAATAGGTAGGAGCCGGATAGCTTACAGCTCTTGCACAGCGGCCATATATATGACAAAGATAATATGTCAACTCTTCAATCTGATCTTCGGTAAAGTTGGATTCGTTGAAGATGCATCTGTATTTTGTAGGCCTCGCTGTACCCTACATTTATAATTATAATCATCAACACTATACATCAAATAAATTTCATTGAAAAAATATTTATAGTTTATAAATTTAATTTTTATTTAAAAAAATTAACCTAATGTATCGACCTACCTGAATACTCGCATGTGATACGAGATAAAAATCAATGTGCTCTGGATGGGTAATAGTCGTGTCGACAATTGTACCCACTTTCACGTTATAATTTCTTGTGTCCTCGGTGTCACGTATATCTTTGGACTTAGGGAAGAGACGCACATGGTGTCTCTTCTGAACGACCAAGCAATTAATTTCAATACCGCTGCGAGTGAATCTAGTAACCGCTTTTTTAATAGCTCGTATTTCATAATACATAACTTGTGGAAGTTGTCCCTCGCTCACTCCGTCTCTGGAAATTAACATAAATATGAAATTAATGCGTTAAAATATAAGTATGTATATAAAATATATTTGTAAAGATTAAAAAAATTTTCAGATTTTACTCGTACATATATATATAGGTTTCTTATTTATTTTACGTTATACATTTAAAACTGAGTTTTCCTTTATGTACCTATAAAAACATTATTTTTAATAGATTACATAACATTGAGTATCGTCAATACATACCGATAATAGACGATTCTCTTTGGACAACATTTTGTTTCTTGCATATAGACTCTAAGTTGCGTTAGTATTATTTCTTCAAGATCTAAAATCATTTCTTCTTTGGGTTGTTGAAGTCTAAGTGCAACATTATATCGGAAAGCTGATTTATCCCTACTTGCAGCAACCTGAGTTAATAAAATTTCTTATTAATTCATTTATATATATATATTCATATAAAAGAAAAGCTATGTTTAATAATTATACAAACCGCTGCTATAGATGGTGAATCTTTAGAATCGGGAGACGGATGAGTCACGTCGGCGCCAACAAGCATACAAGGATATTTTTCGTTCAGACATGCTGGCCTAAAAAAGAAAATAAAAAAAAAAAAAAAAAAAAAAAAAAAAAAAAAAAGTTTTACTTGAGGTTACAGGTATCTTCATAAAATGTAAAGGTACAAATATTATTCACTTACATTCTATCAAATATGTGATTAACGCCATTTAATTTCGAGTTTATTTTTTGCAGAATGTTCCTTACTATCGATACTTGAACTCTCTTTAAAGTTTGAAGTTTTATACATTGTGTTAAAACACCGACGTCCATCTCGGTAATTTTTTTTACTTTACCTGAAACAATGATAAATAACACCAGACCGATTTATATTCAGAATAAGAAATATAATAAAAAGAATCATGTACTCACCATACATTACATCTGTACGATTAGGTATGATAACTATTATTAATTTTAACTTCTTATTGTCAATGAAGAATTTTGTAATTTTATCTAATTCGTTTAATCTAAAATGATCAAATGGACGAGGCTGCTCAATTATCATACCAACTTCCTTTGCTTAAAAAAAAAAAAAAAAAAAAAAAAAAATTAATGTAACATAAAATATAAAATATGAATATAATCTATGTGTCGTATGATTCAAAATTCAATACAATTCGTCGAAAATCTAAATTTACAATTGCAAACTATGCACCATGATAAAATTCTTTTCGAATAAACAATTAACAAATGCACTATACTTTTTAGAAGTCCTCGACGGAATACATTTCTATCTAAATTTTATTTTTTTTATACTTAACCAGTAGTTTGCAACATTTTCGCGAATTCTTGCATAGTAGGCTCCAGGTTCGGCATTTCAGACAAATTGACAATAGTCCACGTTGACTTCTTCAAATGTTTGGCTTCGTTAAACGGTTGAATATTCCATGTGCCTCGTTTTACTTGTGCCTTTCCTCTGCCATATCTCAATTCTGGAGAAGGTAAAACTCTGGCCTGTACGTCTTCCATTTCTGGGCGGACAGATAGATGAAACTCTCTTGACATGACGGGACTTTCGTTAACTTGGATTTTGCTGAACTACAAACATATAATATATTAAATAATGATAAAATACATGTTCACAATATACGAATGTAAAATGTTTTGTACCGCTTCCTCTATTCTTTTTTTACGAGTAAACGCATCAGTTGCTGCTTTTCTGATCACGTTTGTAGTTTGCTCTTCGTCCTGCTTTCTAATAGGCTGATTCGGCATAATAGTGCATAACTGTAAATAAGGAAATTGCTTTTTTTCATTTATCTTATGCTATCACTTGTAGCAAATATAAAACAGCTTACGCACTTCGATAGGCAGCAAAATTTCACTTCCGTCAGACTTCGTGCTCACATGAAGAGTAGGCAAATCAGGTCTTCGTATATTATATCTCTTGGACTCCCAAAAGTATTTTTTTATTGTTGTTGTTTTTGATATTGTTCTCGTCCCATCTGATGACTCCTGTTTGAATTCTGTATTACAATCGTAACGGCTCAATTTAATTATGCGATGCGTCCGCCTCGATACGTTGGGTATTTCATAAGTCACTTTTAAGCCTCTCAAAAAACTTTGTATCTTAGATTCACGCATGACATCATCGTAAGTAATGTTGTCTTCTCTGACCCTTAAAACTTCAGCTATATATTCAAGTACTCTCTGCTTCGTGGTAAATCCTTTATGAGAAACTAAACAAAATACAAGAGATATTACATAAAGATTATTATAGATAAGGATATTTATTGTAGTTTTCGGTTTAAGCCATTACAAAAGCTTTAAAAATATTGCTTACACATTTGTTTGTAGTTTAAATGATAAATGTATTAATTAACGTAAATACTTTACCATCTACATTTAGATACAGACTCCAGCCAAGTACCCCAGACATAAATCCACCGCGCGCTAGAGCTAAGCCACCACCTAATGGTTCTTCCTCATTTATATCCCAGTAGAGTGACTTTCCGATCTATAACAAAATACATTTTAAATTATGCATCATGTAAATTTGTTTATATCAATCAATTTTCTTCAATTACAATCCATATCTAAAATTTATTATAAAGTATAAATATAAGTATATATTGAAGAAGCAGATTCAAGTTCAAACAATAATACGCAAAAACACTTTTTTAACAAGCATTTCATTTTCCAAAAATCGATGTTATTTATAATCGTACAAAAATTAGTACTAAAGAAAAAAAGACTATAAGTGGCGATTGCGGCGCAAAGATATGCGTTACTCTTAAGAGCCGAAGATCAAAGTTCAAATCTGACCGTTTTTATTCGATCGGACCACTTCTCGGACCCACTAAGAGTATCTTGCCTACAGAAACCCGTTCGGAATTGGCATTGAATTGCAGGTCTCATATATCTCATCAACAGATATATGCAAAAAGGATCACGACGCTTGAAATCGAGCAATATAACTAAGAAGTTTGTTAAAAAAAAAAAATTGTTAATTACTTACGGTCATAAACTGGGATTCCGATGCATGACGCATAATTATATCTAAAACTTGTACGGAAGTTTGATCTCTCTCTTCCAGACGACCAGGTTTCAAATTTTTTATCCAGCTAAGGTCAACAGTAGCTACTTTCCTTATAACAATTTGATATTTATTCTTGCGTCCCTCTTGATTTTCGTGCTCGAAAACATCAGCCATCTATAACAAAATATATAAAATATAAAAAAATGTGAAAAAATATTCTTTATAGTTTTTGCTTATCTCTTTAATTAGATTTCTAAATAAATAATTTAGGTCTACTTGACACATCTTCATTTTTAAGATACAATAACTGTGTAATTATTAGTTTTAATTATTGGTAGATTTAATTAGAAATTAGCTTTTGATCGAGCAATATTATAAAACTTATTTCAAATGTGATAAATTATATTACATTCAATGCATATATTACTTACATCATCGATAGGAAGATCATTCGCGCTATACGCATTTTTCTTCCCATCATATGCCGGATATCTGGTCTTAAAATGTTTATTTCTACATTTTTCAAAAATACTTCTACATAAAGATTTGGGAAGATCAAGTTCCTTTTCATTAGCTTTCTTTTTGTCCTCTTTCTCTTTGTAAGCCTTAATATCAATATCATAATGGACTGCGTTGGTTACAAACTTATCGTCAAATATAATCTTGAACATATTTGTCCATACTCTAACTGGCACCCCTACTGATCCACCTTTCGCAGGATTTGTTCTCTTTGGTATCATGTTATAATATGACGTCAATTGAGCAGATGTCATTTTTGACTTTTCAGTTATTTGTGAGCGGAATGGATCTGTCATACCAAGCTCAGATACCTGAAATAAAAAAAGACATTTAAAAACTGAATTAATTAAAAATGCGATATCTAATACATCCGTTTATGATGGATATTATTAAACACGTATATTTATAAAATATATTTAAAAAATAATATAGTACATATTATATACATATATATATATGATCGTACATCAAGAGATCTACTTGTTGATGGTTGCTGTTGGTGTATACCACTACCACCAGTCAGTACTTGTCGATGATCACCGGCACCACTAATATCAACTATAAAAAATGAAAATAATGCACAATACATACGTCATACATACACATGTCTATAAACACATGTCTATATACATATGTCTATATATATTTAATATCCTATTTTAATGAAAAAAATATCTGAAAACGGACCTAGATAAAGAGTAGTCATATAACAATTTTTTCATTTAAAAAAGACAATTTTATAGATATATCTTTGTTCTAGATGAATTTATTCTAAAAGATAAACATCTCTTTTATTTAAATAAAACTGTCTTTTGTTCAATTCAATTTTCCTCATCACCATGCTTAGAAAAATATTAAAATGAGATGTGTAAAATATCAATACCTTATCAGAGATATTTTATATTTAATTAGTTAAGTTGAACAAAAATTTATCTCCATTAATTATTTACTAGCAAACCCAAGTTTTATCGTTATTTTATATTTAATTCAAATATATTATCCTAATATAAAACACAAAGTATCTTGTGTATATATAAAGTATTTGATTTTTTATACGGAATAAAAAGAATTAATTGATAATCAATTAAGTACATTAATACGTAAAATAGCACACAATTCCACTTTTTTCAAAAAATATTCCTGTATATTTTGACGTCAATAGATTTCCTTATATAAGAAAAAAATTTAAAACATGTTGAACATTCTATTATTAATATTTCAATTACTGATATTATTACTTGAAGCTTTTTGCTGACGTTGTGCTCCTTGTTGCTGCTGTGACAGTTGGGTTTGAGATACTTGTTGTCGTGGACCCCATGCTGTTTGCGGTACTTGCTGTGGCTGTTGAAAACCCTGTGCTCCTTGCTGCTGCTGTTGCGGTAGTTGGCTTTGGGGTACTTGTTGTCGCGAAACCCATGCTGTTTGCAGTACTTGTGCTTGCTGTGGCTGATGCCATGGAACCTGTGCTGTTTGTTGCTGCACTTGAGGTACTTGATGTGACGTTTGAAGTGCTTGCTGGCGTGAAGCCCATACTCCTTGTAGTTGTAGCTGCTGCTGTTGTTGTGGTAGGCTTTGCTGCTTTTGTAGACCCCGTGCAACTTCCTGTTTACTCCGTAATATTAGTGGTTGTGGACATTTAGTTACTTTCTGTTGCTGTTGTGGACCTTTAGACTTCTGCTGTGATGAACCAGAAAGTGCTTGCCCTGAAGTTTCTTTCTTCTCATCTTGTGAGGTTGATGCAGCAGCAACATCTGCTGCTGCTGCTGCCTGCTTCTTCTTCTTTCCTATAATTTATATACATATATATATTATTCTTTATTAAACACATCTTTCTCAAAGATCATGTACAATTCAAGTTTTAAGATTACACTTGAACCTCTCAGTTAATTCAATTATAAAAAGATTAAATGCTTTAAATATAAAAATAATAATAAAATAAAACAGTTTTTTGTACCCGAATCGCATTAAACTTTCTACGTTTTTAGTAAAATAAGTATATTGAATATTAGGGGAAAAAAGTAAAGCTAAAATATACAAACAGTTTCGCAAAACAGAATCTAATGTCATCTTGACCCCACTTGATCCCACAAACGCGAGTGTATACAGCGAGTGTAAATACGTAATATTTTCGACATAGCCCGTTTGTGTCACAACCTTGAAATGTCATGACTTTATTATCGGGATTTTGAAAAATGGAAATTCAATCTCAGACTTAACATACTGTTAAAATATACATACATCGAATACTTCTTTCATTTGACTTATTTCTATATAAATATATTAAATTATGATCACGGAAATGATCGATCAATTACTGAATGATGCAATTACCGAGGAAAATTAAGAAAGCGGTCTCCGAAAGGATCGCACGTAACAAAATCGGCACGCGTACCTTTCTTTGTCATCCTGCCTTAAATCGATATCATCATCGTAACTTCGGAATATGAAAATTCAAACTCAAACTGCCTGTTCTTAGAACCATATAGATCGACTACTTTATTATTTGACTTATATTTATGTATATATTGCGTCCTTTTTCTAAATACGAGCAATTAATTCGGGTAATGGATCGAATTACCACGCACGCACGTACACACGCATAACGAAAATTATCAATTATTGAGTTGAACAATTTACAGGGCAAGCCGTTTTCGGAGCAATCGTGCGTAACGACCAGAATACGTACCTTTCTTCGTCATCCTGTCTTAATGCGGTATCAGAAGCTCCCAAAACGTATTGTGCGTAAATTCACTTGCTGATGCTGCTGGACCGAAGAATATGCACCGAATAGTCAACGATGGTGATACCTACTGCGCCGTTGCCTAAACCCGACGTCTCGTGCCTCGTACTGCTGTGGACTTCTTCAGTTTAATGGCACCTGTCTCTCTTCAGTGGCAAATTACTGGCAATTGGGCAATACCACCTCAAACGAAAATAAATCCTCGAATGACCTCGAAATTCTCGTGGTACCTCGTACACCTATATACGTACATACACAAGAGAATAAAGGAATTCCCCAGATCTTGCAAGATATACACAAAACATTTGATTCGTTATTGGGAATAACTGACGTGTCATGACACTCACCCATGGCACATAGAAAAACTTAAGCAGTAAGGATTCGCTACCACTTAGGGACTTTATCCATGTATCTTCCGTAATGTAACGCGGTGATGAACGCGAAACGAATCGGGGCGATCGGCGTCGCAATTCTTTCAAATTTTCACGAAAAATCAGTGTTAGAAAATGTGAAAATATTTTGAGAAATATCTCATATTTATATAATTTAATTTTATATTATATCTGAAAGTACTTCCTTTCCATGGGTACGAGCTCGGCGAGGTGGGAAAACCCAGTACCCAGTACAAGGATTTTACCCAAGCAAAACTCATATCCTCTGTGTTTTGCTGAGGTATCGTCTCGGGTATTCTTTCTGGCTTGATTGCATCTGTATAAAAGTGTTTAAAATAAATGACAAGAGGGATATATTTATAACGAAAAAAAAGAAAGAAACCAATACTAAGAGATACTGTAGATACTAATTTTGCTACGCAAATTTCTTAAATACACAGTCCCACTACTCGACAGATGTTTTTATTTCACAAGAGCTAACCTCAAAAATCAGAACACCCTTACCTTTCTGCTCCTCTCGCCGCTTTAGCATTATTAATTGTGTCTTCTCGATCTCGTTTCTTAATTTTTCGCATCAGCACTTTCTCAGGCACGGACATCTTTTTAAGTTACGGAATAGTATTGCAGTGGCATAAAAAATTTGTTTACCACCGGCCAGGCACAGACGCGCGAGAAAACAATCAAACCAACACGTGGTGAGGTGAAAGGTGAAAGCACATAACCCTACTACCATAGGCTGCGTTCAGCAGACATAACTGTTGAGTTCGTCTTATCAACACATAGCATTGATTCGTTGGTTCTAAAAGTAAGAGCCAATCACGTTCGACTGCTACTGAGCGGCTTGGTCTGCTGAACGCGCCCATAGTCACACAAAAAAAAGAACAATTTATCTGCACCTGAGAGAGAGAGAGAGAGAGAGAGAGAGAGAGAGAGAAAGAAAGAGAGAGAGAGAGAGAGAGAGAGAGAGAGAAGCCTGACTAGCCCTTTCTGGTTTCTCTCTGTCTGTGTCTGTCTGTCTGCACGTTATGCACTTTTCATGTATAGATTGCGCGCTGCCATTGGAAGCGCGAAGACTGCAATAATAAGAGAAGACAATCCAAATGCACTCTTTTTTTACAAAAATATATAGTATATAAACAATTATATACTTTAGAATAGCAATGCATTTATAAAAAAAATTGCTTTAAATGCATATGAATAGTTACGCAATTAAGATTATGGGACTTCTTAAACTCCTTAGATCCTTATCAAACGCTGTGCGTTTTTCGCATTTCTGTCAATAGAGTATAAAAGACACTCCTTGCGTATATCAACAATCTTTCTGTAGCCTTCGAACTATTATAAAACGTAACAAAGTATTTTCGTATAAACGCCATTTATTTGTTCCTTTTTTAACGAGTACATGATCTTAAATATAATTCTTTACAAATAAATTTTATATTCTCAAACGTGAAGATACAGATCATAAAAGTTGGATATAGTACTACCGCAGTACGACGTCAGCATATCATTGCATGTGCAATAACTATTGTCTAGACATTTGAATAACTTTCTATTAAAAATTACAATTAGTAAACCTTATTCCCAAGGCTATTTAATTTATATGTGGATGTAAAGATACAAAGCGCACATATGATTATACATTTCATCATATAGTCATAGGCCCATATTCTGAACTGTCTTTTTCGATAAAAGCGCGCTTTTTTTGTGAGATGCTATAGTTAAAGTTAAAGTTAATAAAGAACAATTTATTTAATTATAAAAGTAAAATATTTGTAATTTGTTATAACTATAATATGTATCGGTTGGACATTATGTCTCAACTACAAAGCGATTCTCGGAAATCCTTCAAAAATCATGAATATCTATCCTTAAACAAAAAACATTGGTGATTCTCCCATTCTTATTATAAAGTTTCTCTGTTCCCTTTCCAAGTCACTCAACCTAAAGTCTCTGTTCCTGATAAATGGAAATAATATCTTACAGATCATGATTATAATCAATATCTGATTCATAGCGTAATAGATTGCTTACCCTTGTATCAAGGCTCTTCCACGATAAGCTGCTAAATGAGCATAATAGGTAGGCGCCGGATAGCTTACCGCTCTTGCACAGCGGGCATATATATGACAAAGATAATATGTCAACTCTTCAATCTGATCTTCGGTAAAGTTGGATTCGTTGAAGATGCATCTGTATTTTGTAGGCCTCGCTGTACCCTACATTTATAATTATAATCATCAACACTATACATCAAATAAATTTCATTGAAAAAATATTTATAGTTTATAAATTTAATTTTTATTTAAAAAAATTAACCTAATGTATCGACCTACCTGAATACTCGCATGTGATACGAGATAAAAATCAATGTGCTCTGGATGGGTAATAGTCGTGTCGACAATTGTACCCGCTTTCACGTTATAATTTCTTGTGTCCTCGGTGTCACGTATATCTTTGGACTTAGGGAAGAGACGCACATGGTGTCTCTTCTGAACGACCAAGCAATTAATTTCAATACCGCTGCGAGTGAATCTAGTAACCGCTTTTTTAATAGCTCCTATTTCATAATACATAACTTGTGGAAGTTGTCCCTCGCTCACTCCGTCTCTGAAAATTAACATAAATATGAAATTAATGCGTTAAAATATAAGTATGTATATAAAATATATTTGTAAAGATTAAAAAAATTTTCAGATTTTACTCGTACATATATATATATAGGTTTCTTATTTATTTTACATTATACATTTAAAAACATTATTTTTAATAGATTACATAACATTGCGTATCGTCAATACATACCGATAATAGACGATTCTCTTTGGACAACATTTTGTTTCTTGCATATAAACTCTAAGTTGCGTTAGTATTATTTCTTCAAGATCTAAAATCATTTCTTCTTTGGGTTGTTGAAGTCTAAGTGCAACATTATATCGGAAAGCTGATTTATCTCTACTTGCAGCAACCTGAGTTAATAAAATTTCTTATTAATTCATTTATATATATATATTCATATAAAAGAAAAGCTATGTTTAATAATTATACAAACCGCTGCTATAGATGGTGAATCTTTAGAATCGGGAGACGGATGAGTCACGTCGGCGCCAACAAGCATACAAGGATATTTTTCATTCAGACATGCTGGCCTAAAAAAGAAAAAAAAAAAGGAAAACAGTTTTACTCGAGGTTACAGATATGTTAAAATACAAGTATTATTCACTTACATTCTATCAAATATGTGATTGACGCCATTTAATTTTGAGTTTATTTTTAGCAGTATGTTCCTTACTGTCGCTACTTGACATCTCCTCAAAGTTTGAAGTTTTATACATTGTGTTAAAACACCAACATCCATCTCGGTAATCTTTTTTACTTTACCTGAAACAATGATAAATAACATCAGACCGATTTATATTCAGAATAAGAAATATAATAAAAAGAATCATTTACTCACCATACATTACGTCTGTACGATTAGGTATGATAACTATTATTAATTTTAACTTCTTATTGTCAATGAAGAATTTTGTAATTTTATCTAATTCGTTTAATCTAAAATGATCAAATGGACGAGGCTGATCAATTATCATACCAACTTCCTTTGCTAAAAAAAAAAAAAAAAAACAATTTAATGTAACAAAATATAAAATATGAATATAATCTATGTGTCGTATGATTCAAAATTCAATACAATTCGTCGAAAATCTAAATTTACAATTGCAAACTATGCACCATGATAAAATTCTTTTCGAATAAACAATTAACAAATGCACTATACTTTTTAGAAGTCCTCGACGGAATACATTTCTATCTAAATTTTTTTTTTTTTTTATACTTAACCAGTAGCTTGCAACATTAGCGCGAATTCTCGCATAGTAGGCTCCAGGTTTGGCATTCCAGACAAATTGACAATAGTCCACGTTGACTTCTCCAAATGTTTGGCTTCGTTAAACGGTTGAATATTCCATGTCCCTCGTCTTACTTGTGCCTTTCCTTTGGCATATCTCAATTCTGGAGCAGGTAAAACTCTGGCCTGTACGTCTTCCATTTCTGGGCGGACAGATAGATGAAACTCTCTTGACATGACAGGACTTCCGTTAACTTGGATTTTGCTGAACTACAAATATATAATATATTAAATAATGATAAAATACATGTTCACACAATATACGAATGTAAAATGTTTTGTACCGCTTCCTCTATTCTTCTTTTACGGGTAAACGCATCAGTTGCTGCTTTTCTGATCATGTTTGTAGTTTGCTCTTCGTCCAGCTTTCTAATAGGCTGATTCGGCATAATAGTGCATAACTGTAAATAAGAAAATTGCTTTTTTTCATTTATCTTATGCTATCACTTGTAGCAAATATAAAACAGCTTACGCACTTCGATAGGCAGCAAAATTTCACTTCCGTCAGACTTTGTGCTCACATGAAGAGTAGGCAAATTAGCCCTTCGTATATTATATTTCTTGGACTCCCAAAAGTATTTTTTTATTGTTGTTGTTTTTGATATTGTTCCATCTGATGATTCCTGTTTGAATTCTGTATTACAATCGTTATGGCTCAATTTAATTATGCGATGCGTCCGCCTCGATACGTTGGGTATTTCATAAGTCACTTTTAAGCCTCTCAAAAAACTTTGTATCTTAGATTCACGCATGACATCATCGTAAGTAATGTTGTCTTCTCTGACCCTTAAAACTTCAGCTATATAGTCAAGTACTCTTTGCTTCATGGTAAATCCTTTATGAGAAACTAAATAAAATACAAGAGATATTACATAGAGATTATAGATAAAGATATTTATTGTAGTTTTCGGTTTAAGTTCAAATGATAAATGTATTAATTAACGTAAATACTTTACCATCTACATTTAGATACGGACTCCAGCCAAGTACCCCAGACATAAATCCACCGCGCCCTAGAGCTAAGCCACCACCTAATGGTTCATTCTCATTTATATCCCAGTAGAGTGACTTTCCGATCTATAATAAAATACATTTTAAATTATGCATCATGTAAATTTGTTTATATCAATCAATTTCCTTCAATTACAACCCATATCTAAAATTTATTATGAAGTATAAATATAAGTATATATTGAAAAAACAGATTGGAAAGTTCAAACAATAATATGTAAAAACGTTTTTTTAACAAGCAATTTATTTTCCAAAAATCGATGTTATTTATAATTGTATAAAAATTAGTACTAAAAAAGACTATGGGTGGCGATCGCGGCGATACACGATATGCGTTACTCTTAAAAGCCGAAGATCAGAGTTCAAAAAAATACTGTTAATTACTTACGGTAATAAACTGGGATTCCGGTGCATGACGCATAATTATATCTAAAACTTGTACGGAAGTTTGATCTCTCTCTTCCAGACGACCAGGTCTCAAATTTTTTATCCAGCTAAGGTCAACGGTAGCTACTTTCCTTATAACAATTTGATATCTGTTCCTGCGTCCCTCTGGATTTTCGTGCTCGAAAACATCAGCCATCTAAAAAAAAATAAAAAATATATAAAAATGTGAAAAATTATTCTTTATAGTTTTTGCTTATCTCTTTATATACTTAGATTTCTAATTAAATCATTTGGGTCTACTTGACACATCTTCATTTTTAAGATACAATAACTGTGTAATTATTAGTTTTAATTATTGGTAGATTTAATTAGAAATTAGCTTTTGATCAAGCAATATTATAAAACTTATTTCAAATGTGATAAATTATATTACATTCAACGCATGTATTACTTACATCATCGATAGGAAGATCATTCGCGCTATACGCATTTTTCTTCCCATCATATGCCGGATATCTATTCTTAAAATGCTTATTTCTACATTTTTCAAAAATACTTCTACATAAAGGTTTGGGAAGATTTAGTTCCTTTTTATTAGCTTTCTTTTTGTCCTCTTTCTCTTTATACGGTTTGATGTCAATATCATAATGGACTGCGTTCGTTATAAACTTATCGTCAAATATAATCTTGAACATATTTGTCCATACTCTAACTGGCACCCCTACTGATCCACCTTTCGCAGGATTTGTTCTCTTTGGTATCATGTTATAATATGACGTCAATTGAGCAGATGTCATTTTTGACTTTTCAGTTATTTGTGAGCGGAATGGATCTGTCATACCAAGCTCAGATACCTGAAATAAAAAAAGACATTTAAAAACTGAATTAATTGAAAATGCGATATCTAATACATCCGTTTATGATGGATATTATTAAACACGCATATTTATAAAATATATTTAAAAAATAATATAGTACATATTATATACATATATATAT